GAATGAAGGGGAAAGAGGAGAATTCAAGCCCCTAATAGGCTGACCTATGATGCACCGGGAAAGTAGGGCAAGTCAGCCCTGGCCGGAGTGGCAATGATGGTCGGAGATGATGAGGAAAGTGAGTAAGAGGAATGTGCTTTCGTGTTCTTCTCTCCGGTGGAGATGCCCGGGGAACCAGCAACTCTCGAAGAGGCCTTGGAGATTAGTGATGCTGAGGAGTGGAAGAAGGCAATGGAGAGTGAGTTGAAGAACATTGAGGAGAACGACATGTGGTAATTGGTGGAGCTACCGGAGGGGCGTAAGGCGATAACGTCCAAGTGGCTCTTCAAGATCAAGTCCGACGCCGACGGCAAGATCGAGCGCTAGAAGTCTAGTCTTGTGGCCAAGGGGTACCAGCAAAAAGAGAAGGTGGAGTTCAAGGAGTTGTTTGCTCCTATGGTGAAGCCGACGACGCTGCGGACCCTACTCGTGGGGGCTGCCATCAAAGGGTGGGTGGTGAAGCAGATGGACGGGACAACCGCGTTCCTCATCGGCATTCTCGAAGAAGAGATTTTCTTGGCGCAGCCAGAGGGGTTTGATGATGGTAGTGGCAGAGATTTGAAGCTGAAGAAGGCCCTCTATGGGCTGAAGCAGGCCCATAGGCAGTGGTACTTGAAGCTGCGAGAAGTTTTGGAGGAGATCGGCTTCACTCCCTCGTGGCTGATCACTCATTGTTCATGCTTGGCGAGGAGGAGCCGAGGAGATTCATGGTGGTCTTTGTAGATGGCATCCTCATCTTCTCACCCTCCTCTGACCTTGTGAAGAAGGTGATTTTGAAGCTTCAAGACAAGTTCAATTGCAAGGCACTTCGCGACATGAACTTCTACCTCGGGCTCCACATCGAACGCGACGTGGAGAAAAGGTCGATGCGAGTGCAGCAACGAAAGTACCTCGAGGCATTGGCTGCCAACTTTGGGCAGAGTGAAGGCCATGTGGCTACTCCATTTCCTGTTATAGTCACAATAGGCTTGAATGTGCCTAAAACGAAAGATAGAGTGCATAGTCGGATTTCTGCACACCGGCTTCAAAAGTTGATAGCGTTCTAATCACAGATGCAACTGACTTGATTCAAATTGGATCTGGAGCGTCTTGACGTCGCCTAGACTTGGCAATTTAGATTGCACGATTTCATAACGAATTGACGAGTTGGGAATGACTCCCATCACCTACAAACCCCAAGAGCCGATGTACAGTGATGTGGAACAGTGCCACACTGTCCCCAACCACGAAGGGTCTCGAAACTATCCTCCACAAGGGACTACACCAAGAGAAATGTTACACTACACAAAGTAATGCAACTATTCTCACTATCTTAAAGTTTACCCTTTTTTAAACCTTCGAAATCACTTGAATCTTGAAACCAAGGCTCTGGTTCTTCAAGATAAAATATTCATTGAGTTCTTGGAAGTCTGCTGCGCACACCTGCGACACGCCGAATGTTCCACACACAACAAAATAGAAAACCGCACACGACACGCAAACAACGACGTGACACACGACTAGCGATAACTCGCTGTTGACTCGACACACATTCAAAACCATGCCTCATCATTCACACACTATTATAAGCATGAAATATATATTATCTCATGCCCTCATACCATTCCATGCACACACGCATGCACGCACATGGACAACAAGCCGAATGCAAACTGTAGGGTTGCACCAACATTTCCTTCAGGGTTCAAGTGTGTGAAGAGACCAGAGGAGGAGAGCGTTGGGGAAGAGGAGAGGCGCCGATTTCACTCGTTGGGTGGCAGCCTCATGTATGCGGCGGTCAACACATGAGCAGCTGGCTAGGGTTGTGCAATGCCCTAATGAGGAGCAGGTAGCAGCTGGAATGAGGGTGGCCAAGTATCTTGGCCAAACACTGACCGTTGGGCTGCAATAATCGGCGGCGGCACAAAGGTGCCAAACGGGCGTGGATGGTGTTGAACCCGGGCGTTTGTTCCTCGCCGCATCCTTGGATGCTTCTTATGCACCAGAAACAGAGGACATCACAAGTGTGGGAGGCTTCATCTGCTATGTAGGTGGAGGCCCAACTGCTTGGGAAAGCAAGAAGCAGGTGGACCAAGCTCTGAGCTCGGTGGAATCCGAGTACATGGCACTCTTCTGTGCCGTACGAGAGATTGTGTGGCAGCGGTGTTTGTTGACTGAGTTGGGAGAGGAGCAGCAAGGACCTAACCCACTCTACTATGACAGCCAGGGTGCCATTGCATTAGCTAAGAACCCCGTGTTGCACGGAATCACCAAGCACATGAGGGTGAAGTGGCATTGGACGAGGAGCATGGTGGCCGCGGGTGAAGTTGAGTTACGATATGTGAAGATGACGGGGAAGCCAGCTGACATGATGACCAAGAGGCTGGTGGAGCAGCAGCATTGGAAGTTTTGCAAGCTGGCTGGGATGGCTCTGAACTGAGAGAGCAAGATCCTAAGGCCAACAATCCGAGGGGGAGTTTGTTGGTGCAATCCTATGGTTTGCACCCGACTTGTTTTCTGTATGCGTGCATGCGTGTGTGCATGGAATGGTACGAGGGCATGAGATAATATTTATTTCATGCTTATAATAGTGTGTGGTTGATGAGTCATGATGTCGACTATGTGTGTGTTTCGAGTCAATAGCGAGTCATCGCTAGTCGCGTGTCACGCGGTCGTTTGTGTCCTGTGCACGGTTTCTATTTTGTCATGTGTCTCGTGCGCGGTTTCTATTTTTTCATGTGTGAAACGTTCGGTGTGTCGCATGTGTGTGCAGGAGACCCATCAAGAACTCAAGGATGAGTTTATGATGAAGAACCAGAGCCTTGGTTTCAAGAGTCAAGTGATCTTGAAGCCCACGAAAAGGGTACACTTCAAGATATTGAGAATGGTTACATTACATTCTTTAGTGTAACATTTCTCTTGGTGTAGGCCCTTCTGGAGGGTAGTTTCGAGACCCTTCTTGGTTGGGGAAAGTGTGGCACTATTCCACATCACTGTACGTTGGCTCGTGGGGTTTGTAGGAGCTGGGAGTCATTCCCAACTCGTAACTCTTCCGAATTTGTGTTCTAAGACTATAGAGGCTGCCATAGTGCCGTTCGTTCAATCCGATGCAGTGTCGATAATTCGTAATGAAATAGTGGGATCAAACAGGTCGATTATAGTGTCGATTATAGGGGACATTAAGACGCTCCAGATCCAATTTGAATCAGGTCATTTGGAGCTGTGACCAGATCGCTATAAACGTTTAAAGCTGCTGTGCAGAAATCCGACTTTGCACTCTATCTTTCGTTTTAGGCACATTCAAGCCTACTGCGACTATAACATTGGCAAGAGCTGCATTCCAGTCGATCTCGTAGTCCAGCCGCAAGATGGCCATCAGCTCTGCCAGTTGCGCGATGCCCAGAGTGCCCCTCACCCAGAACTTTATAAAGTTTTGGCGAGAGAAACATCGCTCGCATTCTACCGTCGACAATGGAATCATTGCGGTAGCTTGCCACATCCGCATGATGTTGGGCCAGCACCTTAAATAACACACACAAGGAGAAAACCGACAGTACATAGGCGTGTTAATGCGCAAATATGGGAGAGGCATATATGCGCATATATATTGGCAACACAAAGGATATACACGCCTGGTTGCCTAAGTAGTGCTCATGAAGTTGCACAGACCCTGGAAGAAGCCCTCTTCCTCATGGTGTGCCTCCATGATTGGCGCCCACGACTAGAGCTCCCTCTCAGCAGAAGTCATGTCGAAGCCCGGGGGTTTGTCCTAAAAAATTGCACTGCATCCGTGCAGGTACTCCCGCAACTTTCTGTCGCGTTGCTGCCGTTGCTTGGGCCACTTGGCAGCTCGGAACAGCTTCCTCGGTGCCAGCTTCGTGAGGTCTGCGAGGCGGAAATTAAGCTTGTTTTCACATTCTTATGCAAACTTGGTGCACAACTTCTCGTAATCTCTGTTCGTGCTGCCGTACACATGCCCTTCCAGCTGTCGCTCGTGTAGTTTGTAGACGTGGGACACGGGATGTCCTTCAGTGTCCACGCCACCCACCCGTACCTTCTTCTCCCCTCCCCTCCCATACTGCGCTAGAAAATCCGACAGCACGGGGCTCTCGCCATCTGCAAAGACGTCCTCGTACTCGAGGTTGTTATAGTCACAATAGGCTTGAATGTGCCTAAAACAAAAGATAGAGAGCATTGACGGATTTCTGCACAGCGGCTTCAAACGATGATAGCGTTCTGCTCACAGCTTCAAACGACTTTCTATAAATTGGATCTGGAGCGTCTTAATGTCGCCTACAATAGGCAATTTAAATCACACGATTTCAGCAAGAATTGAGGACGCAACGTCGGTTTGAACGAACGGCACTATGGCAGCCACTATAGTCTTAGAACACAAGATAGGAAGAGTTACGAGTTGGGAATGACTCCCAGCTCCTACAAACCCCAAGAGCCGAGATACAGTGATGTGGAACAGTGCCACACTGTCCCCAACCACGAAGGGTCTCGAAACTACCCTCCACAAGGGCCTACACCAAGAGAAATGTTACACTACACAAAGTAATGCAACAATTCTCACTATCTTAAAGTTTACCCTTTTGGAGAGCTTCGAAATCACTTGATTCTTGAAACCAAGGCTCTGGTTCTTCAAGGTAAATTCTTCCCTGAGTTCTTGGAAGTCTGCTGCGCACACCTGCGACACGCCGAACGTTCCACACACGACAAAATAGAAAACCGCACACGACACGCAAACGACGACGTGACACGCGACTAGCGATAACTCGCTATTGACTCGACACACACATTCAAAATCATGCCTCATCATTCACACACTATTGTAAGCATAAAATATATATTATTTCATGCCCTCATACCATTCCATGCACACACGCATGCACGCACACGGACAACAAGCCGAATGCAAACCGTAGGGTTGCACCAACAAACTCCCCCTCGGATTGTTGGCCTTAGGATATGTTGCTCTCTCAGTTCAGAGCCATCCCAGCCAGCTTGCAACACTTCCAATGCTGCTGCTCCACCAGCCTCTTGGTCATCATGTCAGCTGGCTGCCTTGTCGTCTTCACATAGTGCAACTCAACTTCACCCGCGGCCACCATGCTCCTCGTCCAATGCCACTTCACCCTCATGTGCTTCGTGAGGCCATGCAACACAGGGTTCTTAGCAAGAGCAATGGCACCTTGGCTATCGCAGTAGAGTGGGGTAGGTCCTTGCTGCTCCTCCCCCACTTCGGCCAACAAACGCCGCTGCCACACAATCTCCCGTACGGCACGGAAGAGTGCCATGTACTCGGACTCCACCGAGCTCAATGCTTGATCCACCTGCTTCTTTCTCTCCCAAGCAGTTTTGCCTCCACCAACACAGCAAATGAACCCTCCAAAACTTGTCATGTCCTCTGGTTCTGATGCAAAAGAAGCATCCGAGAATGCGGTGAGGAACAAACGCCCGGGTTCAACACCATCCGCGCCCTTTTGGCGCCTTTGTGCCGCCGCCGAGTATTGCAGCCCAACGGTCGGTGTTTGGCCAAGATACTTGGCCACCCTCATTCCAGCTGCTACTTGCTCCTCATTAGGGCATTGAACAACCCTGGCTAACTGTCCGGTAGCAAACGCGACGTCCGGTCGGGTGTTTACCGCCGCGTACATGAGGCTGCCCACCAACGAGTGAAAACGGCGCCTCTCCTCTTCACCAACGCTCTCCTCCTCTGGTCCCTTCACACACTTGAACCCATAAGGAAACGGTGTAGCCACATGGCCTTCACTCTGCCCAAAGTTGGCAGCCAATGCCTCTAGGTACTTCCGTTGATGCACCCGCATGCACCGCTTCTCCACATCTCGTTCGATGTGGAGCCCAAGGTAGAAGCTCACGTCACCAAGGGCCTTGCACTTGAACTTGTCTTGAAGCTTCAGCATCACCTCCTTCACAAGGTCAGAGGAGGGTGAGAAAATGAGGATGTCATCCACATAAACCACCATGAAACTCCTCTGCTCCCCCTCGCCAAGCATGAACAAGGAATGATCGGTGGATGAGGGAGTGAAGCCTATCTCCTCCAAAACTCCTCGCAGCTTCAAGTACCACTGCCTAGGGGCCTGCTTCAGTCCATGAAGGGCCTTCTTCAGCCTCAGAACTCTGCCACTACCATCATCAAACCCCTCTGGCTGCGCCATGAAAATCTCTTCCTCTAGGACGCCGTTGAGGAATGCGGTTGTCACGTCCATTTGTTTCACCACCCATCCTTTGATGGCAGCACCCGCGAGTAGGGTTCTCAGCGTCGTCGGCTTCACCACAGGAGCAAACAACTCCTTATAGTCCACCTTCTCCTTCTGCTGGTACCCCTTGGCCACAAGCCTAGACTTGTAGCGCTCGATTTTACCGTCGGCGTCGGACTTGATCTTGAAGAGCCACTTGGACGTAATCGCCTTACGCCCCTCCGGTAGCTCCACCAATTCCCATGTGCCGTTCTCCTCAATGCTTTTCAGCTCACTCTCCATTGCCTCTCCAAGGCCTCCTTGAGAGTTGCTGGTTCTCCTCGTCATCTCCAACTATAAGTGCTGCTCCGGCCAGAGCTGACTTGGCTGGCCTTCCCAATGAATCAAAGGTCAGCCTATTAGGGGCTTGGATTCTCCTCTTTCCCCTTCCTTCCTCCTCAGCTGCAGGGACATGAAGGCCTTGGCGTTGCTGCGGGTTGACTCGGATCCGTGGAGCACTTGTAGTGCGAGAAGGAAGTGTCGGTGCACGCTCGCTCACTTGCTGCACCTCCTCCTCTTCTTCCTCTGCATCCTTGGCCTCCTCTCCCCCATTCACAAGGGAAGATTGCCTCGTGGTGGTGCTGCTGCTGCTCATCTCCAAGGGCAGCTCCACATGCTCCAAACCGGAACTCTTCACCTCCCCAAACCGCATGCCTATCTTCGCCTCATTCTCCGCCTTCCAATCCTTGTACATCAGATTCTCCATGAATTTGCAGTCCCTGCTCACCAAGAATTTCTTGGTGAATGGGTCCCAAAGAAGCCACCCCTTGCTGTTTTGAGCCATGCCCAAGTGCACAGCCCATATCGCCTTGGCACCGAGCTTGTTGTGCCGAAGATGCTTAGGCACGAGCGCCATGCACATGCACCCGAACACCCGAAGCATATCCACCTTTGGCTTCCTTCCGATCCACTCCACATAGGGCACCCATTTGTCTGCTCCCACATGAGTCAAAGCTCTGTTCTTGGCCAGACACGCATTTCGCACCGCATCAGGCCAGAAATAGTCGGGTAGCCCGGCTTCAATGAGCAACCCGCGTGCCGTCTCCGTGATTGTCCGGTTCGCTCGCTCGGCGATGCCGTTCATTGCAGGGGAGTATGGCATGGTAAGGGAGTGCCTTATGCCATTCTCCTTCAGCTACAATGAGAACTCCTTGCTCAGGAACTCTCCCCCTCGATCGGTGCGAATTGCCTTCACTAGCCGGTCTTGTTGCCGCTCCACCATCGGCAACCAATCTGTCTTCACCGTTTCAGCCACGTCACTCTTCTTGGACAGCACGTACACCCAAGTCATCCGAGTGTAGACGTCCACAATGGTGAGAAAGTACTCAGCTCCAGCAGCTCCAAGCTTGAGGGGGCCCACCACGTCCATCACCACCTCATCAAGTGGTGCCTTAGCCGTTGCCTCCGAACTAGAGAACGGGTAACGGGTGAACTTGGCTTGCATGCATGTCGGGCAGCAAAGTACCTCATCGGGCTCCCCCTTCATACGTATGCCAGCAACCATCTCACTCTTCACTAGCTGCTGCAAGATGGGAAGGGCCACATGCCCTATTCGCCGATGCAAGGTGAGCCAATCACACTCCCCCGTAGCCGAAGTCGGATTGGAGAATGCCGCACTCGCAATAGTGCCCCACATGTTCTCTCCGTACTCCTCCTCCGGGGGTTCTCCTCACCCTTGTGCTGATTCTTGGCTGCTGCACCACTCTCCTCATGTTCACCGAGCTTGCTGGTCCCTCCAAGATTGCACTTCTTGGACTTAATCTCCTCAGCGTGACCGTTCGCGCCATCACCGCTACCAACCGCTTCACCCTTGGTGCTGATGCTTGCTGCCACTTGCCTCTCCTTAGGCATGGGAACCACAGGGATCTGCCACATCTCGTTGTAGACATCCCTATCCTCGTGAAGGTCCCAAAGAATTCGCTCGCCAAGCCTCGCGGTATAGGTCTTAGCTCCCTTCGAGCTCGTGTCCATGCCGGCCTTTTGCAACCGCCGCACGGAAATCAGGTTGGCAGCAAGGTTGGGCACCCAAAGCACGTTCTTGAGGCCCACCATCTTCCCATCAGCACCCTTGAACATGGCCTTGCCCATGCCTTTCACCTCTGCTCGCTGCCCCAAAGCCGATGTCACATGCTTCACCGGTGACGGCTCAAGTTCGGTGAGCAAGTCCGCACGAGGTGTCATGCTATAGGTAGCGCCGCTATCGATCACCCAATAGTCCAGGGAGTGTAGGGTGACCTTCCCCACAGCTGCTGGCTCCTCAAAGCTTTCATCCCTCTCTGGACCAGCCGGTGCTTGCGTGGACACGAAGAAGAATTGACCCGGGAAGCGATCGTCCCTCGACTCGCTCTCGTTGCCGGCACTCTTCATACTTGCAGCACCACCTCCGCGACCGCCACGGCCTCCACGGCCTCTTCCTCTCCCTCCTCCTGCTCCTCTACCCTCTTGGCCTTGAGCAGGAGTCCATCCATCTGGGAGCTTGTAGCGATCGCGCCACATATGTCCGCTCTTGTGACAATAGTGGCACTCGCCGTCGAATCGGCCGCGACCGCGTCCGTAGCTCTTGTTGTCGGTGCCGTATCCACCACTCCCGCGGCCTGCACTGAAGTTGTTGCTGCCAAATCTGCTTCCCCCTCGATCGGATTAAGCTGTGAACTTGCTATGTTGAAGCTCACTCTAAGAGCTTTCAAAAGAGCCAAGTTGCCTCGCGAAAAGTTCTGCCATTTCAATGTTATGGCTCGGACAGCGTTTGCCTAGCGTCGTAGTGCTCACGTACTAGCGTTGACTCGGTAGCATTCTGCCGTCGCACCATGTAGAAATGAAATTCCAGCAAGGAAGGAATTCGCTTGAATCAAATTGACTATATTCAGGTACAAACAGAGAAGGAATATATAGTTCTAGCTAGCAAGGACCTTGGGAATCAAACTGGGAACAACCAGGGATGATCCCAAATAATTCCAAGCAGCAGAACCAACCTGGCTGGACAAAACAGCAGGTAGTAGGTTGGTAAACAACCTCTGGTTCTGTTTTTCCAACCTGGGAAAACAACAACCAGGTTCAGGTCCTAAAAACAGAACCTGTTTTGTCTTTGCCCAACCAGCCAAATGCTGGTTCCGCTGGTTTCCCCTGGCCCTGTAGCATGCAGATACAGACAAACAACATCCAACCTTCACCTAAATTGTACCCCTATAGTGCCTGGCCTGCTACACTATAGTTTACCAAACAATACAGTACAATTTCGAGTTGAATAAAACTGAATCTGCATATTCAAGTCAACCGAACTGCAAAGCTTCCATCTTGGGTTTTTTTTCGAGCTCGTCCTTTTTGCTTGCATTGTTCATAGCACGTACAATGTTGTGCCGAAGCGCACATTGCGCGAATACCTGCAAATGCATCAAGCGAAAATTGCGAAAGCAAACAAACACACGAACATTCCATTCACACCCAAATGCATTCGCACACGCATAGTCGTACAAACAAACGGCAGGATGTCGTGCAATGTGAATTTGCACCCAACAACGACGACCTGCTGTATGACGACGCCGAGGAGGATGAAGACTTGCCGGAGCTCGACCCCAACATGCACGCCGACCCCGAGCACCGTTGGGAGATCTCGACGATGACAGTTAAGGAGGCGTTGGCAAGCTGGAAGGGCAAGGCGGTGAAGGCCGCCATGGAGGAGGAGATTCACAGTCTTATCGGCATGGGAACCTGGGAGCTGGTTGAACGCCCACCCGGGGTGTACATCATGAAGAAACGGTGGGTGTTGACGACGAAGTACCACATCGACGACACCGTCGAGCAAGAGAAGGCAAGGCTGGTCGTGAAGGGCTTCACGCAGGTGTATGGTGCCGACTACGACAAGACGTATGCACCAGTGAGCAGCTACGTCACGCTGAGGATCTTTCTCAGCATTGTCGCCGTCCTTGACCTTAACCTGATGCAGCTCGACATGAAGAACGCCTTCCTACAGAGCAAGCTTGACCGGGTGCTGTACATGTACCAGCCGTACTACTTCAACGACGGGACCGTCCAGGTGTGCAAGCTGCTGAAGAGCCTCTACGGCCTGAAGGAGTCACCGTTGTTGTGGTACAGGGCTCTCGACAGTGTCCTGCTGGGCGCTGTATCGAAGAAGAGCCAGGTCGACACGGCGCTCTACTTCAAAGTCGGCGACAACAAGGTGACCTGCTGGGTGCTGGTCTACGTCGACGACCTGCTCGCTGACAGCAGCAGTGCAGCGATGCTGAAGAAGCTGCTAAAGGCCGCCTTCGAGCTGCGGGAGATCTCACCAGTGCAGAAGTACCTCGGGCTGGAGATCGTGCGTGGCAGGTCGGTGAGGAAGCTGATGCTGCACTAGCAGGGCTACGCCGACAAGCTGCGTAGGCGGTCTCCGTTGATGCCGATGCCACACCCACCTTCGATGATGACGAGGCACAGGTGCGCCACGAGGAGGAGTACTGGCAGAAGCTCGGCTCGCTGCAGTTCGCGGCGACGACGACGAGGCCGGACATCGCCTTCGCCTACAACAAGCTGGGGAGCGGCCTCACTGTGAGGAGCGATCAGCACTGGCGTGAGGTCGACCGCTACCGCGCCTACCTCGCCAACACCTGTGACACCACCTTGGAGTTTGGCGGTGGAGCAGAGTCGCTGAAGCTGGTCGGCTAGGTGGACGCCGACGACGCCGGTGACAAGCAGAACTGGACGAGCACGGGCGGCTACGTGTTTGTCTTTGGAGGGGCCGCCGTCTCTTGGTCGAGCCAGCGCATCAAGTGCGCGACGCTGTCGTCGACCGAGTCGGAGAACGTGGCGGCAACCGAGTTGGAGGGCATGGGGTTGACGGGCAACCTCAAGCACATGGAGCGGCGACATGCGTGGCTGCAGCACATGGTGAAGCGCGGGAAGTTCTCGCTGAGGTACATCCCGACCGCTGAGCAGCCAGCCGACTTCTTGACGAAGGCGCTGCACTACCCGGCCTTCAACCGGTGCTCCGTTGCAATCGGCCAGGTGCGCCTAGTCGACGTGGGCGACGGTGACAACGACATGCAGCAGTAGGTGCCATGCCTTCTTGCATGGCTGGTGCGGTGACCGGCGTGATGTGTGTTGGGTGCACGCCGGCGAGCTATTCTCCAAGTAGTGCTGTCATCTGGGCTGGGGGCCCAAGCATGAACGCGGCAGGGGAGTGTCAACGGGAGTTGTTGTTGGCCCCGTCCTCGCTTGGGCGGAGTCGACCTCGGGGTCGGGTGTGAGGAGTGCAGCCGACCTGCAACAGTGGGCGAGCTGGTCGATGGGCCTGGTCGACCTGCACAAGGGCCACTGCAAGGGCGCCGACTTTGGGAGGGCGCCAACTTCGGCTGGTCGACCTGGGAGGTCGACCAGTGGGGGGCGTCGACTTGGGTGACGCCGACCAAGGGAAGCCGACTGGGTGTGGTCGGCTGACAAGTGTACTGGTTGACCTGGAGTTGGTCGACTAGGTGGGTTGTCGACATGGAGTTGGTCGACCAGGGCAGTGGTCGACCTGGTGTGGTCGACATGAGGTGGTCGTTGACCTGGGCGGTCGACGGGCCTAAGATGACACACCTGGTCGACATGGTCGCCCGGTCGACCAGGTTACCCGGACGACAAGGTCTGCAAGGTTCGCGACTGTCGCCCAGGTAGATTGGCAAAGTCGACCTGCGTTTTGGTGGCACGTGGTCAACAGGACTCATCAGGTGCAACCGTCGACATATGGTCGACTTGGCACCTGCGCAATGTGCGTGGCGGTGCATGTCGTCACCGTCACTTTGCACCTGCGAAGTAGGTGTGCGCACATGAGCACGTGTGGTGACCTGTGGTGGCATGTTGTTGGTGTGCTGGCACGCCAGCCTTGCAGGTCGACTGAGGACACCTGAGGTCGACCTGCTGGCAATTCGCCTTCGTGCTGAGCTGGTGGTCGACTTGTATGCTAGGCTTCTGATGTAGTCTACCTTGCCAACATAGTTGCTACGCATTGTTCTCAACTTTTGATAGTGAAACTCTTACAGTTTTGCCTCGTAAATGCACAAGTGATGGAGAACGACTAAGGGAACGAATGCAGAGATCCCTCCTACCCCGTGCCTAGCCCGTAGTCTAGCTCCCGTTCATAGAGTTATCTCCGCACAAGGCGCTCGACGACGTGCTGGTCGGCGCCGACTGGAAGAAGAGCTAGGTCGACCAGGCGCTCTACTTGAAGGTCGACGATGATGGGGTGACCTGCAGGGTGCTGGTCTACATCGACGAACTGCTCGCCGCCAGCAGCAGCACCGCAATGCTGAGGGAGCTGAAGGAGCTGCTGGAGGCCGCCTTTGAGCTGCGTGAGATCTCGCCGGTGGTGAAGTACCTCGGGCTGGAGATCGTGCGTGACAGGCCGGCGAGGAAGTTGTGGCTGCACCAGCAGACTTATGCCGACAAGCTGCGCGGCGTTTCATCGACGAGGAGCAGAGCGGTCGAGTCCCGAAGACACCGGTCTCCGTCGACGCCTATGCTGAGCTTACGTTTAAAGATGAGGAGGCTCAGAAGCATGAGGAGGAGGAGTACTTGCAGAAGATCGGCTTGCTGCAGTTAGCGGGGACGACGACGAGGCCGGACATCGCCTTCGCCTGCAGCAAGTTGGGGAGCGGCCTCACAGTGAGGAGTGACCAGCACCGAGGTCGACCGCTCCCTCACCTACCTCGCTGACACCCGTGACACCGCCCTGGAGTTCAGCGGTGGAGCAGATTCGCTGAAGCTGGTCGGCTACGTGGACGCCAACGACGCCGGCGACAAGCAGAAGCGGACAAGCACGGGCGGCTACGTGTTTGTCTTCGGACGGGCCTTCATCTCTTGGTCGAGCTAGCGCATCAAGTGTGCTAAGCTATTGTCGACCAAGTCGGAGTATGTGGCGGCCACGGAAGCCCGCAAGGAGGGACGCCAACTTTGCTTCCTTCTTGCAGAGTTCCAGCTGCTGGACGCTGGGATGCCGACCATCCTTTGCATGGACAACAAGTCGGCGATCACGGTCGCCGAGGGCTTGGGGCTGCAAGGCAACCTCAAGCACATGGAGCAGCAACATGCCAGGCTGCAGCACATCGTGAAGCGCAGGAAGTTTTCGCTGAAGTCCATCCTGACCACCGAGCAGTGCTCCGTCGCAATCGGCCAAGTACGCCTGGCCGACCGCTGCACTATCCGGCCTTCAACCAGTGCTCCGTCGCAATCGGCCAAGTATGCCTGGCCGACGTCGGTGACGGTGACGACGATGTCCAGCAGTAGGTGCCATGCCCTCTTGCATGGCTGGTGCGGTGACGGCGTGTTGTGTGTGGTGTGCACGCCGACGAGCTATTCTCCGAGTAGTGCTGCCGTATGGGCTGGGGGCACAAGCGTAAACGCGGCAGGGGATTGTCAACGGGAGTTGTGTGTTGGCTCCGCCCTTCCTTGGGCGGAGCCGACTTCGTGGTCGGATATGCAGGAGGTGCAGCCGACTTCAAGAGGTCGACTTGGGAGGTCGA